GAATGAGAAGGACAAGACTGTAAGAATGTGTGAGCCCCAGCACAGAAGAGTCTTGGCCCACAAGTGCCTACTGCAGAGAAGCAATGGGCACTGGGTCCTGCTGGAGAAGAGCCTGGGGCTTTTGTTTTAGAGGAGATAAGAGGAAAAGAGAAGTTTGGAGAAACAACTGAACCCTGTGGGAGGGACTGAGACCTGTACAGCCTGCCCCAGGCTGGGCATGGGGCAGCAGAGTGCTGTTGTCACTTCACACTGGCCTGCACATTTATATGGCATGACAACAGTATTTGACAAATCTTCTTACCCTGGGGGGGAGGGGGAAAGGGGAGAGGAAAAGGTTTTCTTTTCCACTACCAAATGTTACAGTTTTCTTTTTTAGTCAAATAAAACTACAAGCATTTATTACTTAAGTTTTATGCTGTTGTTTGGGGAAAAAATGAGAACATGAACTGACCAAAAATAGAAACATTGCTTATACTTTAGCTTCCCAGGCCCAGGATGAACAAAACACACTAGGCAAACAACAAAAATTAACAGTGGTAAGGGTAAATATCTCATTTTTGCTTTCAAGACCTATTAAAAGCAGAGGTAAGGAAATCTATTTGTTTAAGAAATATGGTTTTTGAAATGACCATGATGTTCCTTTTAAGCTGCACTGAAATACAAGATAAAGACAGGGTACTGAGTGAAAGAGTGCTGATGGCGCTTTTATTGTGTGATTTGCCTTGTTTTTTTCTGAAGTACTTCTTTTTAGCCGATTACCATGTATTTACAGTTAGTGTAATTATATCTAATTACTTAATTAGCATGAATATGTGTAATTACTAACTTCGAATATATAATTATGTCAGGGCAGCCTGTAATAAATGAGGTTGAAAAAAAACCTTCATTAGGACTCTACGAAAGGACGACTGCTCCACCCGTGTGGAGAATGCATCCCAGTCCCCAGACTGTGCCAGTCCTGGAAAACACAGCCAGCTCCAGTCATGTCTGGCAAAACCCTCCCCCAAAATCAAATCATTTGCCCCAAAAGTCTAGCGTCGCAGTGCTGGTGGGAACTGAGTATCCACTGCTGGGATGCACTTGGGGATCTGCTACCCAGATTCATTTTCTCCATCAAGGCTTGGATATTTTTTGCAGATTCGTGTCACTCTCCAGAAGACCTATTCTGTCAGATGAGAAATACAGGGAACTGAACAACTCACTGTGCTGTGGCATTCAAGTAAAGCTTGAGAGATCAGATCCAAGGACTAATCTACATCTGATGCATTGTGCTTTGAATTAATTACTACTTAATTACTATTATTAAAGTAAAACAGTCTTCCAAAATGTTTCTTCTGAAACATTACCCATATTTCATCACAGGAACCTCCAGCTACTTGTAATTACAAAACCTGAATTTTGGAAATTCAAATCCTCAACTCTGGGAGATGAAGTTAAGGTAAGAAGCTGCTGTTACTGCCAAGTCTTCCCAGAAGAACTAATAGTCACCTTCTGGACACATGAGGGTAGACCAGATCATGTTTTGCATTACCAAAACCTCTGACCATAGGTTGATGTTATGTGGTCCTACACCCTATCTTCTCATCACTTACTCTTCCACAGTGCTTGCCACAAGTGCCATTCTTCTCCTCTCATGTGTTTATTTCCAAACAGAGAGAGGTGCAAACTCATCACAACCTGTTGCTCCTCCTGCTGATACCTGCCAAGCAGATATGCACTTGGTTTCTCTTCCATGTGCAAGAGATCAGGAGAAAAATGCAGGTTTAGCTTACTCTTCTGAAAGTGACTTGTGGTTGGACTGTTCCCATCATCAACCTCTTTGCTTAACCCTCCAGACCGGGCCAAGGACAGCTGAAACAAGGACTGGATGCAAACCCCAGTGCTGACCAGCATGCCATGGAGTTACAGTGTAAATATGTGGGAGCATCTTCTCATGCTTCATCATGAGGAAACAGGATGGTGCTGGTTACTCCCTTGGCTCTTTGAGAATCCCTCATCCAGGAAAAAAAAAACTCCTGCTCCTCTAAGTCAGGCAGTAGCACAAAAATGGTAAGACACAACTGCAAAAATCCCAGAAAGTCAGAGGTGAGAACTGACTCCTGTGCCCTTCATCCCATCTACATGAGGACAGCACATTCTCAGTGTGGAACACATCTCTATCTCCTTGAGGACACATTAACAAGGATGTCCCATGGGACAGCACAGCACAGCGAGAGCAAGAGGGGCTGCAGCTCCGCGGGCAAGGAGCTGCTCTCCATATTTCAGCTGCAATTCCATTATGCAGAGCTAAGTGGCTGAGAATAAACATCCGTCATCCCTGCGTGATAAGCGATGCTTGCTAGTATAGAGGGTGACAGAAATCTATATCACATCAATGTACTATTAATACTGCATTAAGCATATAGAGTTTTCTCTCCTCATTGCTGTGCGGCAACGGGTATCGGCATGTCCTCAGCCCATAGAACATCCAAGAGCACTGGGATGCTTGCAGGAGAAAGGAAGGAGAAAAGCTTCACGATGGAGAGGGAAAATGCTTCCTGAAGATGTTGCTCTAGCAACAACTCAGTGCAAAGGAGAGATACTGGGTGTTGTGGAGCACCTTTGCTCACAGCTGGGCAGCAGCTCTGTGGGAGGTAGGTGGCAGGAGCTTGCGTTTGTACAGGCTCAGTTGGGCATTGAGGCACACCTCAGCCCAGAGGAGTTCTCTCTACAAGTGACAGCAAATCAAGAAGTGTTTCTGTCCAAGCTCTGCACAGGGGGAAAGAAAAACCCTCTGGCGTGACAACCATGGGGAGAACACGAGCAACAAATGTTCTCCAGCTCAGGCTTAAGTTGCATAGAGCACATCAGATCAAACAAACCCCTTACAGCAAAAGCTCCCCAAAGCATGGTTAATTTAAAAGGTGAACTATGAAACTTTTCCAGCCTCAAGCAAAGCCACCAGTGAAGTCAGAAGTTTTGTCCAAGTCAAGTCTTGGGGACTAAAATACAGAACACACACCAAATTCAACAGTCTGAGGGAGTAAGGCCTGGGTTTTCCCTCGTGAATGACAAAGAAATCTAAAAAAACTAGGGCTTTCAGTCTGCCAGCATCCAGCTGTCACTTGCCTCCTCTTAGCATCCAAAGGAAGTGCCATCGTTGTGGGGTTTGGTTTCAGCCCCACTGCCTTGCAGCTCTGGGAAACACAGAGCATTCCCTTCTGTGCCACCTTCCGTGGGAGAATCACCCAAGCATCTCTGTGAACTCTTCAAATCCTAATCAAACAGCCCCGTGAATCTACAAGGCCAAAACCTGCTGTGAGCAACTTTCCCTGCAACCCATCCACCTCTGAGGGGCCCCACAGGGCAAACACTCAGAGCAAAACTTAATCCTTTGGGGTTTAAGCTCTGCTACCGCACAGCCTCAACAGCACCCATGTCTGGCAATGGTCGGCACATAGATTAAAGAGATTTGAGAGAGCACAGGAGGGAAAGGAAAAAAAAGTAAAGCAGGGGAGCCCCCCCTCCCAAGACATCAGAGTTTGTAAATCATTTTGAGATGAGGTGCTATAGGAAATGTAAAATATATAATTAACGGCACAGAAAAACCACGCTGCATTCAGCTTCTCGTTCCTGCCTAATCACCGCCCTCCTCCTCCCCTCTCTACAAACAGACCAAATTTAGCACATTTAAATGAAAATCAAGGGGAAAGCCAAGCACATTCACTGGGTACATCCCATCGCTCTGGCAAGCAAAGGATGGTGATAAGGGCTTGGGCACCACCTTGCAGGACCCAGAAGGATGACCCAGGGACACCTCCATGGGAGCAGCAGCTGCAGCTCCCTTTCCTCTGATGGAGCAGTGGTGGCTGGGAGCAATGTGCTCCTGCTGAGCACTTAATGCCGAATGGGTTCCTGCAGGTTGGGAGATCAGCCTACTCCCTGTTTCCAGGGTGTGGGTTATGTCTCCTGCACTCTTGAGTCTGCAACAGCCAAGGGAAGAGCAGAGGTGGCTTTAGCACAGCATTCCCTGCTTCTGGCTGGGCCACAGAGATAGCCCAACTTGAGGTATTTTTCCCCCCTTTTCTTTTCCCCAGATTTTTATTTTTCCAGTTCTACCTGGAACCAAGACACACCAAAAGGATGAGCAATAGCAGGAGAGAAACATTACCCAAACCTCCTGCATTGCTCGGCTTGCATCTCAGAGCTGGTAAGAGGCCCAAGAGAGCTCAACTACTGCCTGTGAGCCGCATGCTGGGGAGGGTTGCATCCCACCACTCGTGTGGGAAGTGGTGCAGGACTCCCAGAAAAGCATCCTTTTAACCAGCACTTTTATTTTATGCTCAGAATTTAGAAACACAAACTGGAGAGGACCACTTGATCACCACCTGCTAGTCTAATGCACCCAATTCACGACCCAGATTTATACAGAGAAGATGCAAAAGCTTTACAGAAGCCCATGAAAACAAGACATCCAGCATCTAAAACTCCTGGAGATAAAGATATCTCCATGCATCTGCCCCAACTATGTCCATGCGTCCTGAGCTTCTCCCTGGCCCACTGGGGAGCCAAAGAGGCAGCCCCATGGCTGGGAAACTGCTGGAGGAGGAAGGGGAGGCAGGTCCTTTCCCCAGCCAAGCAGGGGTCACATCCAGCCCCATGCTCCCAGGTGGCTCTTGCTCACATCTGGGACCTCATGCTTGGGGCTGATGAGGCAGAGCCTGGATTAGAATGGCACTTTCAGGCAAGGGGGGAAGGTGACTGGTGGGTGGCGGAGGGAGGGTGAAGGGAGGTGAAGGTGAGAGTGGAAAGTCATCTCTGGAAGCATCTACATGTATGTTGTGGTTTCTGAGACCTGACATTCACTTTGGTTTCTGGACCATACCAAGACCCACTCTCCTCAAAAACCTCCTTCTCTTCTTCCTCATCCTCTTAACCTCTTCCTCCTCATCCTCCTTCCCCCATCCCCCCAACCCATCCCTTGGTCCCTGCAGGGGGTTCTGGCCGGATCGGGCACTCACATGTGTCTGGCTTGTGGCAGTTGTGACCTTGTCGGAAGTACTGGGGGTTCTCGATGACAGGAATGCGGGTCATGCCGATCACCACTGTGTCTGGGCCAGCATCCAGGGACGAGGGCGTCGTGATGCCATGATTGATGTGGTGGAGAGGACTGGCTGAATCCTCCTCTCCGCTGATCACTGCCACTGGACCTGCAAACAGCACACACATCCGTCAGGTACGACACGGAAATCTAAGAAGCGATGAAAGGAAAGAGCATCCATATCCGAGAGCCAAGACCTGCTTTCCACACAGAGATATTTCACAATATTCAGCTGTACCTTAATTTATTTTTAGACCCTCTAATCCATATTGCAACAATTCTTGCTGCATTGGGGTTGGACAAGGTAGGGACCGCAGTGAAACCTTCCACGAGACCTCCTTTATATATATTCACATGGGAAGAAAAGCCACACTCAACTAGTGATGCTCCTTTTCTCCTGTCTGGAGACAGGAGGCTACCAGAAACTCAAGTCAAAATGAGCAGAGATGCTGTATTGAGGCTTCAGACCTATTCAGAGAAGCCAGTCTTTTACCTGCATTGCATAGAAGATGCTCATCTCCCATCACTAATCTACTTCTAATTGCACAATTACTTTATTATGAAGCACTAGCAACAAAGAGGGGAGTCTTCAAGCCATTTTACTCTCCAGAGCTACTGGGAGGACAGCGCGAACACTGGCTCCATGCAGTCATTCTGCCTGCATTAATCTAGTCTAAAGGCTGCTCATTTTTGGAGCTTCAAGTATTGTTTGTTCTTCCAAGTGGGATATAATAAAGTTATTGTGCAATTAGCACAGTCCCGGCAGCTGTGACAGGTGTTTTAGTCACGAGGAAAAATAAGTCTCTCCCTTTATTGTGAATTCCTTCTGGCAGGTTCTGGCTTTTATAACGTTACTCCCCAGGCCCGCGTGACTTCCAGCTTTTGAGATGCAAAGGCAAAATTCAGCTCTTGCCGCAAGATGCCTCTGTTGGGACTGTGCACACTGTATTTCTACAAACACAAAAAGCAAACAGGCAATTTCAGTTTGAATGACTTTTGTTCTTTCACAATGTCAATTCTTTGAGGAAAAACCAAGAGGACTGGGTTTTGCATGGCACACACATTCCTTTGGTCATACCCTGCACCACTGGCTGGCCCAGCTGTGGTGGGAAGGGGGGAGCTTTTCATTTCAAGGTACAGTTAAAAAAAAAAGTTATAAAAATATCAGCTGGTATAGATTGGTGTAAATAATTTGAGACAAGACCATAAAGATCTACCTTGAATTGGAGCAGTGGGAGAGGCTATTGAGGGTTTACTGCTTTCCCTAAGCAGCCAAGGTGTTGCTTCAAAGGAAGGCACCTCATCAGGCAGTGGGATGTGAAAGGCCTCTGTAGTGAATGATGGACTGGTTGAGGGTGGCTTTGAGCAGCATGGTCTAGTGGAAGGTGTCCCTGACCATGGCAGGGTAGTTGGACTAGTTGATCTTTAAGGTCCTTTCCAACCTGAACCATTGTGTCATTCTATGTCAAGGAAGTCTCCGTTGCCATCTGCTCTAAGAGCAGAAATTACACCTTTATGACAAGGAGCAAAGAGGACATCTCCTACAATATTAGGTTTGTAATCAGCCACAAGACATACACCGGGCTGGCACAGACCCTGCTGAGGACATGATTCTCAGGGACTCACAAAGCCCTGTCAGCACTTTACATTTGGTGTTCATGCTTGCACAGAACCTCCTCATTTTTAAGGAACACAGATGCCCCGCTAGCACAGGCAGGTCAGAAGGACATGGCTATATCTTAAAGACTAGGGCATGATCAAGGAGGTTGGGTACTTGTCAACTAAGCACATCCAGCACCTATTAGCCAATGTTCTGATGGTCATTTCCTTGCCAATAAACAGATCCAGAGTTTGGTCTTCTTTACCCTCCACAGATGGTTGGTTTTTTTCAGTGGCTTACTTTCTAGGAGGACTTTCTAAATGTTATCCTTAGTTTCATGCCCCAAACCCATCCAAGATCTATGAGGTAAGAGGCAACCATGCCTCAGCTGATCCATGGTTGCACTCCCATTCCTCAGCAAACACACACTAGGCCCCAGGAATGGACTCAGACTCTTAGTTATCCAGCTGAAGTCAATGCTGCCAAGCTTATCCATTTACAAGACACACCAGCCCTCAGAATCCTCAGAGCCAAACTCTGATGCTCCATGACCATTTCAACCCCTCCTCATTTCTGCAAAAGGGGGAAAACCCATGAACTGCCAAGGCAATGGCAGTCCTGGCACCACAGGGATAGCACAACACATAAAGTGTATTCTACCCTTGAAATAATCCAGGGACAGTTTACTGCCTCCAACTGTATTTCCAGGTCTTGAAAAAAGCCACAAAATAAATCACATTCTCAAGAGTCCTAAGGAACACACACGATGGTGCACTGTACTAGATTTCCAGCTTTCCAAAATGTTTCTGATGACAGTAGGCACTAATCTAGCATGGACTAGAACATATCATTCAGCCAATTCATCCCCATATTTTCCACAAGATATAATTTTATTAAAGGCATAATTTTCAGTTGAGGACTTCTCCTAGTTTCTCCTATTAACTTTTTTTTTTTTTGATGGGGTGGAGTAGAAATCTGGACAACATTAATTCCTACAGCACAGTTATGGCTCTTTATTACTTCCATTCTCTCACTCCCACCTCTTCTGGCTGGTCACTACCAAGATCCAGTTCCCTCTAAGCCCACAGCCACTCTGTTGTCACTCTGAGGAATACTGGACTCACTGCATAAGCCTGAGACAAACTTTAAAAACATCATGGATATCAAGAAGTCACCAATCACTTTTATATGTGTGACTATTGCTCTGAGTCAAAATATACACTGCCATTAGCAACTCCTGGAAATAAAGCAACTACCTAGACTTCAACTTTTTAAATCTATCTTGGCAAGATAGATGTTTTTTGCTGTTAAGCAGGTGAAGAGGTTGAGTTTTCTGATGTATAATGCTGATAAATGGCTTTATTTGGAATAATTCATACAGGTTTCACCCATGTATTTTCCAGGTAAGGTTAAAGAAAAAAATGGAATAAAAAGAAAAAGAGAGTACAGATTTTAAGATTTAGGTTTACCTTCCATTTGACAGTGAAATGGGCAAAGACATATACAAAAGAAGACAGTTTTGTACAGTAAAAATGCAGAATAATAGTTAAGGGTAGCTTGGGGTAATCCCTAGCATACCATCCTGTGATCTTAAAACACTATATAAAATATTTTGGAGTTTGTCTGAACAGTGATGCAGTAGCTCTTTCTGTGAATAACTCAGCCTGTGTTATGGACAAACATGCTGTGAATATTAACTATTAAAAGAGTCTAGTTGTTAATACTCTTAGAAGTTGGGCATTGAATGTGTTACATCTATACTCTGAAAGGCTCTCCCATGGCTCTCCTTCCATCCAAGTAGGGGTCTTGCCAGCCAGCAGCACCCATACAGACTGCAAGGACAGAGTTGAGCTGTTCTCCATGCTAATCCCATACAGTGTTCCCAGCATGGAAGAAACAGCAGCAGCAGTGATGGATGCAGAGAGCTGTGGGGAAAGGCTGAGAAGGTATTAGGGCAGCCCTGAGCAAAGAGCCAGTCAGCCCCTGCTCCAGCCCAGCACTACACTCACTGCCAACCTGCCCTTTCACAACACCAGCAGGAAAGTCAACCACAGTGACCAGAAAATCAGGATAAAATTAATCTGATGTTAACCAAAGAGCAGCAAGACAGCTTGAAAATGTTGCTTTTGGAAACCCTGCAAGGAGGAATGCTGTTCTCCCTTCCCTCCCACATCTCCTCTACAGCCAACTCCTTTTTCCTGAGAAAGGCATCTCACTCAAACACCACCATTCCCAGACTCATCTCCACCCTCTTTTCTCCCCCAGCCTCCCAGTGAGGCTACACTCCATCCGTCCCAGCAATGTTCCAGTTGTTCTTACTTTGCATCCATCCTGATATTATAATCTCTGCAAACACTCCTCCAGATTGCCCCAAAATCTCTGCTTTTCAGAAAATCTGTCACTCTCTATTCAGCACTGTTCCCTGTGGCTAAACTGGAGTTTTGCTTGGTGTTTACCTTCGTCTCTTTGTTTACCTGGAAGCTCTATGAATAGGATATACCAGTCCATGTCTGTGAATCACCTGATTCATTCACAGTGTTATACAGACACATCATTTAGGAAAAAAAAAGCAAATAATAATAAAAAGCTTAGGGACCCCTGTTTGCACGATCATATCATAATGGTAAATTGTTTATCAAGGCTAAGAGCTATACTTCATGATAAAACATAGGCTCAGGAATATAGGGTACTCTCTAAATAACCACAGACTAGAGAAGATAATGGTCACTGCATAGACATTCACAACATTATGAATGCCCCAAGGCAAACAGGTGAAGAAACAACAAAAACTCCAGCTTGCTATCACAGTAACCTCTCCCAAGCAACAAAAATGATTGAAGGTGGAGAAAACATGACCTCTAAGGGAAAACTGAGAGAATTATGCTTTGTGTTGAGAGGCAAAGACTGAAAGGACACGTGATAACAGCCTTCAAATATGCAAAAGGTTGCAGCAAAAAGAAATATAATAGCTATTCTCCAAGTCCACTGGGGATAAAACAAGAAATAATAGGTTTAAATTGCACTGAGGGAGATTAGAGTTTGAATGTTCTCCCTGATGCCTAGCTGTACAGCTGGTTGAGCACTGGAACAGATAACCCTGGGATGCTGTGGGGGCTCAGCCACTGCCAGGCTGGGAAGGGAAAGGTTAAAGAAACTTCTTTCAAGGACAGTTTAGCTACAGGGAATGATACTGCTCAGAACCCTCAGAGGCTGCAGCATGTTACACTTGTGATCAAACAGCCCTCAGAATCTACCCTTTCTGAAGCTTCCAGAGAAACTCCAAGCAGGCACCTCTCCACTGCTGTAGACCAGGTTTGGGCAGCATCAGAGTCACTGTCAGTGCAGCACTGGATCAGGATGGGGCCATGGTCTCCCCAGCATGGTTTCAGAAAGGACAACTCCATCCACATCCCAGGCCACATGTTCAGGGCAGAAACTGAGTTTGCTGAAGCAGAGAATGGTGAAGCGTGTGCTCAGGGCTGCAGGGCAATCCCCTCTCACCACCCACG